TTCTTCGACCGATTCTGGCGATTCCAACCCCATCAGGAGGCGAAATTCGATCGAATGGCGGGCCGCCAGAGTCTCTCGGAGATCGATGAGGTCCTAGGGCGTGGTCATAGACGGTTCATAAATGCCGAACTAAAATTCGGAAATGGAAAAAGATATGATTTCGGGTGAGAGTTTAGGCACGAAACGATTTATTTGAAGAGGTGAAAGAGTAGCAGAGTTTCGGAGATGAAGGCAAGGATGAGAATGAAATCGGATCTGAAATTAGGATTAAAACCAGTTTATTTCTGAGAAGAGGAAGCAGTTATTAGTGGTAGGATCCACGATAAAAGACAGAGTCGACACCGATGACGTCATAAGTACGAGTCATTTCTTTTGAAGCGATTCTGATCTTTTGCCTTCCCGCGTCCCTAGCCGTCAGATTGGGATCGTACGGTCTAGACGACTTGTGAAAATCTCGCTTCAGTGGCGCGCCGTAATGATGAGTAACCGCCCATCAAGTATTATTACTTAAATACTTAATGGGTTGGGGGGGCAACTGTTGGGGCTGGATTCGTCATCGAATTCGGCCCATATAAAAGCCCAGGTCAAAACTTGTGTTCGCGATATGTTGACCAGAATCGATGGGCCTGCGGCCCAAGCCCGAAGAGGTAGATGTTGTTTGTCTTAAGGCCTAGGTCAGCCCCGAAAGGGCCGAGTCAACAAGTGCGGAAATTACGAGCTGAGGATGAGCTAGGAGTGAGTCAACAGAGCTGTTATCTTAGTCGTAGGAGTGAGATTTGCGGGGAATATGCCGAGATCATGCCCGAGATACGCGGAACCGCCCTAGGCACGTGGAGCTGAATCGAGGAGCTGAATGGAGCTATAAATAGATGAAATCCGAGCAGATTTCGCCAACTTTTTTACACAAGCGAGAGTTAAAACACTATATTTCAGCTTGTAATACGGCTCACACGAAATCTTATTATATATTTGATTCGTATCAATATAAATCTAGCTCCACTCTACTATTCTTTTAATCGTTGAGCTTATAGATATTTCTTAGAACTAAAGTTTATTCTCCGAATTCACATACAAATACTCAGTGCGGAATTCAGCTTCCATA